TAGTTTCGTAAATAAAATAGATTACTAAGGTTTATTTGTCTTTTATCGAGTTGTGTCAACTTATTAGATTTGACAAAGTCATTCTAGTAATTACCGTACTTTTCAAAGTCATTCTAGTAATTAACTCTATATATAATGGTAAATTTGTTGATTATTTTACCCAACAGTATACAATTAACAATCCCAACTCCCACAAGTGATGATGCATTGTTAATTGTTCAAGCTCTGAACAATTTGTGGGAGTTGGGATTCTTCATGCTATGTTCAAGCTCTGAACAACTTGTGGGAGTTTGGATTGTTAATTGTGGCATTAAGAACAATTGTGACCCTGTGAGTTGATGTTATGTTTGATTTTTCGGGGACCACTGGTTCTAAGATTGCCAGCGGTTCTCATGCATTGGCACTTCTTGGAGACTATATAGACAAAGAGGATTCATCTGTCCGAATTGGTGCTATCATGGGTCTTGGAATTGCATATGCAGGTTCCCAGACATTAACTTATTCTTTCCTATATTACTAGTTGAATGTTTTCGGTGTTCATGAATCATTAACATACCCACTGTTTTCGACAGGTAAGAAGCAAATTGTCGCCGATACTGAATGATGCAAAAGCGTCTCTCAATGTGATTGCATTTGCATCTCTTTCTTTAGGACTGATCTATGTTGGTTCCTGTAATGAAGAAGTAGCACAGTCTATTATATTTGCTTTGATGGATCGAAGTGAGGCACTTGGTCCTGGACTTCTCTACCTGGGCAAACAGGTTGGCGATGTGTTCTACTTCATCTTGCTCTTTGTATGTAATCATTATTTGCGTTACTTGAACTGCACTAACTTTTTCCAATATTTACCAGGAAAGTGTAGAGGCTACAGCTGAAGTTTCAAAGGCATTCAATGAGAAGACTAGAAAGTATTGTGATATGACACTTCTTTCATGTGCTCATGCTGGAACTGGAAATGTCCTTAAGGTATCTAATCATTTGTGCTGGTGGTTGAAAGTCATAATCCATTGCTTTCTAGTTCAGTTGTTGACTTCTCCATTTATGTTCAGGTCCAAGACCTCCTTTCTCAGTGTGGAGAGCATCTTGAGAAAGGTGACATCCACCAGGGTCTAGCTATGCTTGGATTAGCAATGGGTTTCTATGTCTGAAGAACTGGGCATCGATATGCAGATCTATTCTTTGGAGCGGTGCCTTTGGCCCTTGGTCTCCTATGTATAGCTGGGATGCTTGGGGTCCTCTCCAGGTGTTATTACGAGGATGCCAATCTTCTCTTCTGTGTAATGTGTTCCTCAAACAGTTCATTTTTGTTTTTGAGCCCCCGCAATAGATCTGCTGTTCTTGTTGAAATCACTGTGCTCAATTGGTAAGTTATAATGCAGGTGCGTATTGCTCAAGGGCTGGTGCACATGGGAAAAGGTCTCTTAACACTCAGCCCCTTTCACTCTGAACGGTTCTTGCTATCGCCGTAAGTTGATCTTTCTCTTTGTCACCGCTATAAAGGGAGCTTTGTGATAGTTTAGTGTTCAAAGCTTTGTCATGTGGATCCTTACTCTTGCTCAAGCGAACCTTGTTCCCGCATAGCCGTGCTTGCTGGTATACTGACGCTCTTGCACGCATGCCTTGACATGAAGAGCGTCACATTGGCTATTTATCTTGGAGGAGAGTTCCAAGTAACTTTCCAGCCAAGGAACCGCAAAGAGAGTAATCAAGATACGCTGGTTCCATGAGGGATCTCGCACCAATTTGCTATAATCTTGGAACATTATGGCTGCAGGACCTCCACAGGCTGTCTGTAAACCACCCAGGCATGACCCTCGGTTCGGTTCAAAGTCATTTTGCTCTGAGAAGCCAAAAGCAAGTCCCCCCGGTTTATTCAGTGGACTGCCAAGATCATATCCGTCCAATGACACGTTAGATTCAGATTCTAAGCCTTCACCACGAGCTTCAGAAACCAGTTAAAATGACCTGATCTCCTGAATAACCACCATCAAGTTTACTCATCTCTTTAACCAAATCTCTGTTTGTCACAAACTTGGAACAAATATCCTCAAAACTGTATGCGAAAATAGATTCTTCTTCTTGATATCTTATCATCAACCCAGAGTTAAGTTCAGAAACATTGGACATGCCAGATTTCTGCATAGATATGCTTCCATCAACCACCATTTCATCCAATTTTTTAAGTGTAAGAACTCTCTCCAAGATAAAAGGGATGTGAGATTGTCACTTATTTCTATTGGGGTGACTTTTACTTTTCAATAAAAAAATATAATCAGCTTATGTTGTATATTGTTTTATAAAATTTATGTCTTGGGTTCATAACTACATTTGGGGATGTGTCTGGTTTATAGAATTTTTACCAACAAGTAAGTGCAAGACTCGGGTTTCTTGGGACAGACGAGGCAGGGGATGTCCTTGAGCCTACCACACGCCAAATCGACATTATGTTTGAGTCTCTCGTTCTTCTTTGCAAAGAACTTCTTATCCCCTTTCTCGATCGAGTGATGGAGAGGCGGAAGCGGTATCGAAACAGAGATCAAGAACACGCGAACTGTGAACTCAAAACTCGAAGGTCTGTTCTAGGATTCGATGAGAATACTAAATCAAGAGGTCGAGTGCTTGAAAAGCTCCTTATAAATTCTATTAATCCGCATAATCCAGGATCTCGGGAAGTGCAAAGGAACATATTCTAAGTGTCATGAATCCAAAGACTAGTTTTATGTAAAGTACCAAAACACACACAAACCTGAATTATAGTGGAAGGGTCCGGAGTTATGTCAAGATGGATTGAGCCACCTGACAGAAACAAAGAGTAAAAAAACATAGTTGCGAAAAACAGCAAGAGAGGATCCATAAACAAGTAAAACAGACCTTGGTGGACTCCGAAGCGCACTCAAGGCGATCCAGCCAATTTTCCATCCAGGAACAACCCATCCTTTAGATATTCCTCCTAACGTCAACACAGGGACGATCGTTGCGAACTTCCCCATTGGAACAAAGGGATTGTCTCCAAATATAGTTTGGTCGTTTGTGATCACCATTATCCCCTGCTTCCTAGCCGTCTCTGCAACCTAAAATGTTCACCATTCAATCAAAATTTTCAAGCTTAATTTAGCAAGTTACGAATCAGAAACGGGGCTCAAAGTTTGAAGCTTTAGCTGAGTGTTATGAATCAGACCTTTTTGAGATGGTCGTGAGAGTAGACATTTCCACAGGGTGTTCTCATCTGCAATGGATTCGATGCCTTGGAGATCAATCTCCCATTCTCTGTCGGGAAGAAGATCGAACTTGGGAATCTCGAGACCACTGTAAACAGCACGAGCGTCGTAGTGAGGGAAACCAGGTCGTGGGAGCCACGATGGAGATTGGAGACGGAGAGACTTCCCAAAGGGAGGACTCAGTCCCCTCAAAACTAAAATCTGGGGTCCTTTGCATAAATTAAATATCTTTTGGTGGTAAATAATGAATACACAAAATTAAATGGGCCTGTTGTTGGCCCAAATGTTATTTGAGAGAATGAAGATGAACTCAATTCCCAGGAGATTTATCGAAACGGAAGGAGATCTGAAGATTTGAGTCATGAGGAGTATGGGAGGAATAATTGGTTTAAGCCGAGGAAATCGGCTGAGGTTTTGCCTTTGGGAGAACACGCCGAGTCCACGTAGAGATCAGAATCAGGATTCCGACGAGATTCTGGATCGGAATGGTGTTGAGAGAGATGATAATTTGAAAGGGAAATCGGAACCGGATTCTGAATCTGATGGTTTGAGATCGAGGAAGAGTAAGAGTAAGAGCTCGAGGAGAAGGAGATGGTATGATGGTTATGGTGAATCCGAAGTGGGTGAGGTAATTCG